GCCTCTTGCATTGTATGGGAATATCTTTCTCTAGATTTGGGAAATTTTCCGTTATTATTTTGTTGAATATATTACGCATTCCCTTCGCTTGCACCTCTTCTCCTTCTTCGATGCCCCTGATTCTCAAGTTTGGTCTTTTGATGGAGTCAGTGAGTTCTTGCATTTTCTTTTCACAGGTCTTGAGTTGTTTAATTAATAGTTCTTCAGTTTTTCCTTTAATTACCATTTCATCTTCAAGTTCTGAGATTCTGTCTTCTGTTTGTTCTATTCTGCTGGATTGGCCTTCCGTTTTGTTTTGCAGTTCTGTTTCGTTCTTTTTTCTGAGGTTTTCCATATCCTGGCTGTTTTCTTCTTTATTGTTGTCTATTTTTGTCCTGAGTTCATTTATCCATTTATTCATTGTGTTCTCTCTTTCACTTTGGTGTTTATACATGCTTCTATGGTTTCCTTTATTTCTTCTTTTGCTTTTTCAAATTCTCTATTTTTATTGTCTTGGAATTTCTTGAGTGTCTCCTGTACATTTTGGTTGACCCTATCCAGTATCATCTCTATAAAATTCTCATTGAGTACTTGTAGTATGTCTTCTTTTAAATTATTCTTGTGGCTTCATTGGGTCCTTTGGCATAGTTTATCTTCATTTTGTTGGAGTCTGGCTCTGAGTTTCTGTTCTCTTCATTCCCCTCTGGTTCCTGTACTAATTTTTTGCTGTGGGGGAACTGGTTTCCTTGTTTTTTCTGTCTTCCTGTCATTGTCCTTGGTGTTGTTACTGTCCCTGTACTGTGTGTAATTAAGTATTTTCTAGCTTGTAATAATAACAATGGTAATATTGAGAATGGAAAGAGTGAGCTGAGATGGAAAGCAAGAAGTTAAAGAAAAGGGGAAAACAAATATTACAGACAAGAGGGAGAAAGCAGAACAAGGTATCAGACAAGAGAGTTTCAAAGGTATAAACAGGGAGTGTTAGTGTACTAATCGACAGTAAGCTGAACAGACAATAGAGAGACAGAGAGAGGATTGAAAATCAAAGATAAAAAAAATAAAATAAGTATATGAAAGTAATATCTATTTATAAAAATGAATTAAAATAAAATGGAAAAATAGAAAATTAAAAAAAAAAAAAAACCAAAAACTTCCAAGTTTATAAACAACAACTTCCAAGTTATATGCAATGCAATTTCAGTCTTAATAATTTGGATGTCCGTCTCAATCTCCAGTCCTGGAGTTGGTGCCTCAGATGTTGTTCTGTAGTTGTCTTCATCAAAGGGGATGCATAAAGTAGATCACAAAACTACACTACACACACACAGAAGAAAAAAAAAAAGCCCCACCAAGTGTCCCAGTTCAAATGCAATACAGTTTCAGTAAGTTTTTCGCTGCAGGTGTAATTCGTTTGTTTCCCTCATCAAAGGTAGGGAGAAAAAGAAAAAAAAAGCGTCTGGAGACAGTTCTGAGAGTGGTATCTGCAACTGTGGCTTGCCTTGCCTGCTGCTCTCAGCCTGTTAGCTGGGGCGTTATTATGCAGATCTCTGGGGTGAGCTTAGCACTCACCTGGACCCACAGGCTTTGTTTGCTCAGAGTTTCCCTGTGCGGGGAGGGGGGCCTCTGTCTACAGGCTTTTCCCTTTTCCACAAGCACTGGAAAGGCGACACTGCCCCCGCGTTGTCAGGTCCTGCGTGTTTATTTCAGTTCAGGTGGGAAGTGGGCTTCCCCCTCACAAGCGTCCCCGCTCCGGTTTCACGTGGGAAGTGGGTCTTCCCTCCTCTCACAAGCGTCCCGCTCCTGGTTGCTGGCGCGCCCCGCTCCCGCCAGAGCCTCTCCGGCCCGCCCGGCTCGTTTATTTACAGTCCCGGGAAGGATTCCCTTCCCCCAATCTTCAGCGCTCAGGGCGCCCCACCCTCTTCCAGCGTGTCTTAACTGTTCTTATTGCTTAGTACTCAGTTTCTCTTTTTTTTCCGGTGGAGGTCAGTCTGTCCAGGGGGCTATGCTGCTCTGGCCCAGGCTTGTCTGTGGGGAACACGCGGTACCGCGAAGCTCACCTGGTCCGCGTCTTCCCAAGCCGTATGGGCGCCGGCCACTGGCGGCCCCGGGGGCCTCCTCGGTTCTCCGTTTAACGTGAAGTGGAGATTCTCTGCGCCGGCTGGAGATGTGAGGAGTCAAAGTTATGCCTTCTCGGTGATTATGCCTTGCAAAGTGTGTCTCCAGCGTCCTCTCCAAGATTTCACTATAGGAGGGTCGCTTTTCTGCTTCCTACCTCTAGCCGCCATCTTGGATTACTCGTGGCTCACAGTTTTAACTTTATTTTTTTATTGTTTTTGCTGAAGTGGGGGGTACATTGTAATATTTACAAAGTTTCTTACATGTATCAATATACTTGCATTTCACCCCCCTGATTTTTTTGCACTGATATAGTTAAAGATCCAGCAATAGCAAATGACACAGAATATGTCAACAGCAGCTGAAAGCCCAAAGGCAAGTTGCCCTCCTTTTTTTCAGGCTGAAGCCCCTTTAACAGAGGCTGCCTATGGATGAACACATTCAGTTCTTATGATAAAACTACACCCTTGATTTTCTCCAGTTTGGTTTCCTTTTGAAACGCAATTTTCAAAAGAAAAAAAAAATCCTACCAAATTCTGGGCTTATGATTATCAATTGCTTGGGTTGTTTAGACACTTAAAACTGAGGAATTTAGACTTGGTTCGCCTGATGAAGTCTGACCCTGGCATCATTTTAACTTTCCTTTCTAGTATGTGTTGTAATTGATCATGTTAGGTACATTCTTTATTTTTTTTAAATAAAAGTTATTTTCAGGCCCTAATCCTCGTGACATACCCCACAGTATGCACCTCATTGCTTGTTGGCAATAATAATTTGTGAAACCAATTAAATTTCTCTAGTAATAAGGGACTTAGTTTAAATAAATTTATGGTATTATTCATGTAGCGTTATTTTAAATAAAAATGTATTTTCAGGCCCTATCCTCGTGACATACCCCACAGTGCACTCATTGCTTTGTGGCAATAATTTGTGAAACCAATTAAATTTCTCTAGTAATAAGGGACTAGTTAAATAAATTATGGTATATTCATGTAGGGGAATGGTAAATAGCTGGACATTATAGATGAAATATAAGGCAAGAAAACTGTAAAAATCATTATAGTTCACATTTGTTTGTAAAATAGATGATAGTTTCATTTAATATGATTAAAAATGCCTGTTCCAAGGCAGTATCATGAAGCTAATGGAACAATGCTAGCAGAGTTCCCACCAATGCAAAAGACAAGGATGTCTTATTATCTAATACTGTTGTCTTAGTATTAACTAATCCTCTTCTTAATGTGTTAGTCAATGACAAGAGAAAATTCTCAAGCAAAAAACTGGAATGACAAAAAAAGCAATTTCATGATGGTTTATTGGAAACTTTTCAAAAGAATCAACTGAAAAGCTTCTTTTTTTTGTTTCCTACAAAAATCAATAGGCTTCATATTACTAGTTAGAAAAAGTGGTGGTGGTTGGTGGTAGATCTGATTTAAAATAACCAAAAAATTTACTTTTAAATACTGAAATTAGTACTAGTTTTTTGAAAAAACTAGTGGATCTTTTTTCTTTTCAATTGCAGATGACATTTTTTGATACAAAAATAAAAAGCCATTTAAAACTTTGTAAATCAAGAGTACAAAGCAGAATTTTAAATTCTTCATGGAAGATGACAAATTGGGAAAAACATTTGTGCCTCATCAAGGACCCTTATGAATTAAAAGGAAAGAAAACAGTATATGAAAAATGGACAAAGGATACAAATCACAGCAAAAGAACATACATCTACCTATGAAATATATGGATATACTTGGACTAATTCATAAGAGAAATGCAAATTAAGACTGTAAGGAAATACCATTTTTTACCTGCCAAATTGGCACAGGTCAAAGAGCCAGAGTTGTGCTGTCAATGAAAGTGGGAAGGACTTTTATGGATGCTGGCATGACCCTCATGGGGGCTAGTTGCATATATCTATTCAAAATTTTAAATGCACTCACCTATGACCCAGCAATTTTGCTTCTAGGAATTTACACTACAGATATACCATATATTACATATAGCCATTTAAAAGTATGGGGCCATTTTATATATAGTTACATTCTCTACAACACATTAATTGAAAGAAGCAGAATTATGCTAGTTGGGTAAAAAAATACAATATATAGAAGTATGGATTGGTGGCATGGCTCAAGGCCCTGAGTTCAAACCCCAGTAACAATTCACACACATGATCTTTTTTGGAGATGACAAAGAATGGGTCATGGTTGCCTCCAGAATGGTGAACATGGTTGAGAATACAGGTAGAAGCAATTTCCCTTATATTCCTGGATTGTGTGTGGTTTCTAGAGCTGTTTTTATCAATGTTGAGGAAAGAAGGAAGGAAGGTCAGGCAGGTTGTGGGGCCCTTCCAGCTCTAAAAGTAAATAAAGAGTAAGTTGGCTGCTATAATTTTAGAGCTGATTAATGATCTATAAAGCCTATAAGAAAGGTTATTTTCAAGGTGTGAGATTTTCCACTGAATGGTACTTTGAAGAAACAGGCTTAGGGTTTATATTTCACAGATAACAATGAAGAACAGGTGCAAAAAAGGACAGGCAAGTTTTATTCATAAGTTCCCAGAGATTTTTTTTTTTTTTTTACACAAATACAAAAAAATCCCATCTAGCCTGTTTAGTTTTGGATTTAAACCGGTCAGTGTTTCATTTCTAAAACACTCTCATGCAAATCATCCTCATGAATTCTTACATGACAAGAGCAGCCAGTCATCAGCCTGCTTTGTAGGGATCTCCCCCATGTCAGGTTTGTTGGAGTATTTATAACAACTAAGTCACATGGATATACTTTGTGGGCTTTATTTTTTAAAAACACATAAATAACAAGTGTGAAAGAAATGAAGGTTGAAAGTAAGAGAGAAGTCAGTATTTATTTACAAAGGGATCTCTGGAGAGGGTCCACCCCACATGTTATTTTCTCCAGCGCTTACACTCCAGGAGCAGCACAATGAGCCTATTGCGCAGGGTACGGACCTTGCTGGAGTAGTGCTGCTCAAACAGCTTCTTCAGCTTCTGCCTCAACAAATCCAAAGATGGAAGGTGACGACAATCTGGTATGTTCAACATGATGTGAAAAAACTCATTCCACATATCCAGATGAGGAAGCCTGAGAGACAAAGCATTGGCAATGGATAAATGCAGCCTTCAACACACAGAGCAACCCACTCCGCATCTGACTTCCACAAGTGTGGACGGCCTAACAGGACAACTCCCACCTAATGCAACTTAGCCAATCAATGGAAGCACTGCACCTATCACAAACAAGAAAAACTAAGGATCCAACCCAATTTCTAAATACTTTGGTCCAAAAACACAACTGAAGGTAAGTAGCCTATTTAGCTACTCTTCCTCTTTTTTTGGTACTTGGTTTGAACTCAGGGCATTATGCTTGCTAGGCAGGTGCTCTACCACTTGAGCCTTACCCTTAGCCCATTGTGCTTTAGTTATTTTTCTGAATAGGGTCTCAGGTTTTTGTTCAGGTTGGACTGGACTTCAGTCCTCTTATTTATGCCTCCCTTATATCTGGGATCACAGGTGCTTGCCACTGCACCTAGCTTATTGATTGAGATGGGGTTCTGCTAACTCACTAACTTTTTGCCTGAGCTGGCATTAAACCACAATCTTCCTGTTCTCCACCTCCCAAATAGCTTGGATTATAGCTGTGAACCACCATGCCCAGCCCTCTTTCTCTCTTTCTTCTCTCCCTCCCTCTCTCTTCTTTTTTTTTAAGGAAAAATTGATCTACTTTTAACTTGCTATATATACCACACTGCTAGAATTTGATAATCTAGCCACATGGTTCTAAAGAGCCTAACTGCACATGTGCTAGGATCAGGCAGCAGGATGCACTGCCCAGACAAAGCTCATACTGAAGAATTCCAGCCAATACAGTGGTTAAAGTTGACTGCAAAACTCTAGACCATGGAGGAAAAACCCTGGGGAGAAAGCAGAGCACTATTCAGTTGTCCCTGTCATGAAGGCTACAGAGGGCAGCTTTGGGCTCTTCCCTACATAGGGCAGAGATGGAAGCCTTCTGAACAACCATGTGGTCCTCTGATAATGAGCAAGAAAAAGAATAAAATATTTGCTAAATTTGACTCATTACGCAGAATAAAACAGTTGTTCTAAGTTTCCTCTAGGGCTTGAACCGAATTTTATCTATGATGTACTGAATGACATTTTATAAAATTGCTAGCCCTTTCCCTTTGTCTGTCTTGGAAAAGGGTGGGGGCGGGTGAGGGGAATCCCAGTTTAAATTTTTCCAAGAAAGTAAAATTCCATTAGGCTATACACATGAATTGCCTTGTCCTGCTTGCCCTTTTTCTCCCCTCCCCTCCCCTCCCTTTCCCTTCTCTCTCTCTCAGCAAGGACCTATTTTAGTGTAGCAGGAAAAGTAGGGAGAAATAGGGGCGGGGGGGAGAAAAACATTTCCTGCTTTCCACACAGGAAATAAGAGTAAAGACTCAAGAATGTTCCTTTCTGTGTGTTTTTATACCTCAGAAAAGTTAAGAAAGTATAAATGATCTAAGGAGCATGCATGTATGAAGCCCTCAGCTTAAATAAAGCCCTACCAGCAGTGTGTTCTCACAGGTTATGCTGGGAGAGGCTCATCCATGCAGACAGGATGAGCTCTAGGCCAATCATTAAACGCCATGCAATTTTGTAGATGAGAATAAAATCTCAGAAAAACTCAAGTTACATAGGGCTGGGACTTAAAGCCCTGTTGTGTAACAGAAAGCTTCCCCATCCTACTAATTTAGAATTTACAAAGCACCTTCACCTACATTATTTCCTTTGCTCCTTATAAGAAATGTTGGAGAAAAGCAGGATTAGCATTATTCCTATTTATGTAGGTGAGAGAACAAATAAGTGAGAGAAATCCTGAGGCTCAGCGACATTAGATGATTCCTCTCATGGGAATCAAAGAGAAACATTCAAGTGTACAACCAACCAAACAGCCAGGAGCTTTCAATGATGCCACAAGACACTGGATGCCCTTCTACCCCATTTTATATGATGTTGGGGATCAAACCCAGGGCCATTGTGCATGCTAGGCAATTGCCCCATTTTTACAAGTGGGAAGCAGAAGTTGTGACATCATGTGACCTGCTCACTGCCTGACTGGTAACAGGATTGTGCTGTCACCACATTGGCTAAGGTATGGGTTTTCCATGCAGTGACAGAGCTCCCTTTTTTGTCAGATGGAATCTACCAATCTGCTATATTTATTCTTTTTTCATTGCAGCACCAATGCTAATACCCACCTTCTAAAAAGACCATCAGGCTTCCAGATACCGCCTTCATTTTTCACTTTCATGTAAGTGCCAAAGAGCATGCAGTACACTGTTGCAGCAACTCCAAAGTAATCAACCTGTAAAGAAAACAGGTATATGTTACTGAAATAGCAACTTACAGGTGAGTATATTACAATATATCTCTAACTTAGGCATCAAGCTAAATAAAAATAGGATTTTGCTTCTAAAGAATTCTGGAAGTCACTGATGTGTCCCACTGAGTGCCAGTCCAGGTTCCTCCTGAGGGTTTCATGGACAGCAGGCCACAAATGTCTCTGAGGTTGCCCCTTAGGAAGCTCTGTCCTTTTGAGCTAGTCCTTTGTTGTGTCATGAGGAAAACACAACACTAATCCTTCACTTTGGGATTCCTCTCAATTTCCTTCCCTGGGATTCTGGTGGTTATTCTGACTGTACTTCAAGGCCTCTGGTTTTATGATGTGTTCATTCATAACTGAAAAGAATGCTCCAACATGATCCAAATTTATAGGATAACATCTATCCTCACCCCAGGAGATGTAGAATTCTTGCTGCCTAAGGCTTCATTAGCAGTAACAGACTAGAAATAAGACTCTCTCCCTTGCCCCTTTATCTTGAGCTCCTGGGACGCCAGTTTTCACCTGAAAACTGGAACTGGGCAGCCGGTTTCATTAACCTAGGTTCAAAACTTTAAATTTGTCTTAATTAGTATTCTCTTTACTTGTCAGCTAATAGTCTAATTTGTTGAAAATTACGAAACCTTTCTTTAGGATAATACTGGTCCATTTCTAGCACTCTTTTGGGTCGGGTACTGTGTTGGGTGGAAATCTGAATGCACCATCTGTCATGGTAGTACACCTTCATGCCTCTTGGGGCAGCAAAGTATGTGCAACACTGGCTCAATTCCACCTGGAGTTGGCGGATTGAGATTCCCTGTTGTGTTCTGCTTGTATCTTAATAAATCAAGCTGGTTTCTCATGTCTTCCTTTCCAAAGGGTTCAGAGATCATTAAATACTTTTTCCTAGGGTCAAACTCAAAGAATTTATCTGTTTTTCTTCTCTGATAACATAATCTAGAATTCTATAGTAAGAAAGGAATACTGTTCAAGAGTAGAATTTAATCTCCCCCCTCAGTCTTAAATTTCACCTTTCTTTCAACTGCTCAAGAGATCAGTTTGAACTAATTAGATCTCCAAATTCATTTGAAAATCTGGTCAGTGCAACAGAGGAAAATATTTGCAAACTTCTTGTTTTACTTCCATACCTGGTAGTTCCATGGCTTGTTACTGAGCATCTCAGTACATTGAAAACCAGAAGTTTCACACTTTGCTGTAAATGTAGTTCCTTTTGGAAACAATTTCATATCTATACTCTGACCTAAGTCAATCAGTGCCAAGCCCGCAGCTACATCTTCATCGCTATCATCCTGTTCCAAAAACCTAGATCAAACATAAACAAGAGCCAGGATGCGTGAGCACAAACAGCAAGGCTGCTAGAGAAATGCTAAGGAAGGAGCTCCATACAAGTATTACACTTGCCTGTTGCCCAGAATGAAATTGTCTGGCTTAATGTCTCCATGAATGATTTCGCAGCTGTGGACTTGTTCGACCATAAAGAGCATTCGGATAGCAAAAGAGATGACGAGAGCCTGGGGCATCACTTTTTCAGGGGTGCTTTTATAGAGGTTAATGGCATTCTAGAAACAATGCAAATAGGATCCTGAGTTGGGTGTGGAAATTTCAAGTCAAAGGCTTTGCTCTTGCCCTCCACTCCAGCAAAAGCTCCAATCACAAAAGATATGTGCAAAGCACAAACCAGAAATGCACTTCAAATTCATGCTCCTATCGTGAAAGTGAGACACTTACTAGTAATGTTCCACAGCTGTGGAGATCTCCTACCAATATACTGCCATTCTGGAAGAAGTGGGCGGAATAGAACTTGATGAACATGTGTTGCACTGTGGGCTTTAGTCTCTCCATCAGCTGGGTTCCAATATAGAACTCCCAGGGGTTGGCAGGCTTCTGGACCTGCAAGTCAAATCAGATACGTGACATTCACATCCAGACTCATGTTTTGGAAAAGGATAGCAAGAAAGCAAACTCCTTTCCAATGAAGAATATGGGTAAACTGATCACAAGCTACGACTGTTCTACAAGATAATTTAGTGGCAAGGCAATTCCGCATTCTTATAGGATAGTTATTGTTTAATTGCTGATTATAGGTCTCAATGAAAACATCACTGTGTTAAGAAAAAGAAAAAAGAGAAGCTAACAAATTCAAGCTCTAAAAATTCATTTCTGTACTGTATGAAAAACTACCGAGATCATTTACCTTTAAAACACATTTCTGTTTATTTTTATCATCCACATCTCCAAGGGTAGCTTCATAGACTTGGGCAAAGGCTCCTTCTCCAAGAAGGTGATTGATGTAGACCAGCAAAGAACCTTGGAAGACAGATGTGTCAAAATGACAAAAAGGCTTGAAACATTAAGGACTACATGAAAACGAAGAATTTATAAAATTTTCTTGGTGACTGAATTGCTTTAGTAAATAAAAATAGATATAATTCCCAGGTAAATGTCTCTCTAGACTTAGATGAAAGTGAAAGAAATACCTGCCACAAAAGAGCCCCCTTAACAATTTCTGGCACTGAGGGGTAAGTGCAGCTCTGAGCCTTGTGGCCCTGGACAGTCATCCCTTCCTCATCAAAGTTCTCACACCTTAATGGAGGCAATACCTGCACTGCCTGCTTTGCTAATGAGATGTTGGGAAGAGCATGTAAAAATCTTCTGTAAAGTGTTAAGAAGAAACACATATATTTTCCAAATGTATGTGGAATAAACAGAATAAAAAGGGCAAAGCACCAGTACTTGTAATAGACAATTTAAAATGTTTAACAGCTTTTTATTTTAGAATAGTTTTTTGGTTTTTGACTTACAGAAAAGTTGCAAAGAAAGCAGAGTTTCTGCATAGTCTACGTCCAGTCCCCCCCCAAAGTGTCCACTATCACATAACCATATGTTTGTCACAAATAAAAAACCATCAGAGGGATGTTATTATTAACTGAAATCCACACTTTCTTTAGACTTCACTAGTTTTGCTCTGTGTTCCAAGACACATTACATTTATAATATAATTTATAATTATATTTATAATGATCATTATATCATTATCATATGTTATCATTATATTTAGCTGCTACCTAACCTACTTCTCAGGTGTGCTGTAGGATGTCTTTCAAATTGGACTCATTTTATTTTTTCTTGTGGTTACACTGGGGTTACTGGTTTGGAGAAAAGGCCACAGAGATGAAGTCGTAATAGATACAAGTAGACATTGGATCTCTAATCCAGCATATAAAGAGCTCAAACGTTATCACTCCAGACTCACAATAAGAAAAATGCTGAACAATGAAAATCAACAGTCCATTAGAGAATTGAGTCACAGGACAAACTGTTGCCCCCCAATTGGGAGCTAGATGAGAGGATACAGAGAATTACAGCTTGCCAGAGCACAGGCTAGGAGTAGAAATGCTAGAGATAAAAACAGGGATTCCAAAGGGAAGGACTGTAGATCTCAAACTTCATTTAAGATGCCTCTAGGGAAATCCAGGCAACAGGAGAGACTATACACAGCCTAACCTCTAGCCAGATAAGCATAAACCTCACATTAAAACTTATTTATCTCAGTTCCTTTTACTCAGTATATCAGGTCTGAAAAAATTTCAAGGTATATTGAAAAACAAAAACACAGCTTGAGGGCTGGAGGTGTAGCTCAGTGGCAGAGGCCTTGTCTAGCACACGCAATCCCCAATACTGCAAACAATAGTTGGAGGAGACAAAGCAAACACCAAGATTTTGGAATTATTAGATCAGGAATTAAAAATAAAAAACTATGATTAACACAAAGGTTCTAACTGAAAAAGTGGACAATGCAAGCAGAAAGATGGAAACTCAGAGAGAAACAAACAAAGAACAACAAAAATACCCAGTTAGAAATAAAACCCCTACTGTAACAGAAATGGCCAGAAAAACAATCAGTGAGCTTGAAGATATGCCAATAGAAAAATTCTAAAATTGCAGCACAAAAAGAAAAGAAAACTGAAAAAGATCAAACGATATTCAAGAACTGTGGGACGAACACAAAAGATATAATATGCATATAGTTAGAATACAGAAGAAGGAAGGAAAGGAACAAAAAAATATTTGGCATAAGAATGGCTGAGAGTTTTCTAAAGTTAATGATGGACATGAAACCACAGATCTATGAAGACCCAGGCATATCATAAGGAAAATGCAGAAAATCAAAAATAAAGAGAAAATCTTGAAGAAAGTCAGAGGGACAAAAATATTTTATCTACAAAGGAACATGGATAAGTTGTCCTCAGAAACCTCATAAATAAGAGCTGAGTAAAGTATTTGAAGGGTTTAAGAAAAACAAAACAAAACAAAACAAAACCCCCACCAGCCTAGAATTCTGTATCCAGTGAAATTAATCTTCAAAAGGAAAGAATTAAGATTTTCTTACACAAAAGTTAAGGTAATCTGTCATGAGCAGACCTATATCATGAGAAACATTAAAAGAAGTTCTTCAGAGGGAAAGTGGGTAGGCCAAAAACTTTGGCTGGAAGAATATTAGAAAAGGAGTAACAGAAACTAAAATACTTGTTTTTTCTTACTCTAATGAAAAACCAGTTTGCTCAAACTAATGCTAGAAATTATGTATTCAGTGAGTATACTATGGATAAATGAAATGAATGACAGACAGTAACATTATTTGGGATGGGTCAGAGGAAATGGTAATACTGTTATGTTGTACCTGAAGTACTCACGAAGTGACATAGTATTTACTGAAAGCGGACTTGGATTAGTTGTATATTGCAAACACTAGGGAAACTGTTTAAAAATATAAAAAAGGAAGTATAACTGATTTGCTAAGAGAAGAAAGAAAATGCAGTATGAAATGACTTGACTAAAGCCAGAGAAGGCAGAATGAAAGACAAAAAAAAAAAAAAAAAAAAAAAGAACAAGGGCAATGAATAGAAAATCAAAACAAATACAGGAACTATTAACCCAATTATGTCAATAATCAGTTAAAACATCAATGACCTAAACTCATCAATGAAAACAGAGATACACACTTTAAGACAAATACAGATTAAAAGGATGGGGGTTCCAAGAGGGAGGAAGCAGCGTGTGCTCTGTAAAGCAAAAATCCTGCTGAGACACCGGAGACACACCTGGCAGGAAAAGCCACCAAGAAGAAGCAAAACTCCGACACCCCTGAACTCCCAGCCCGCACACAGCCTCTCCATGCCATGTTATACAGAGAAACCAGGGGGGCTCCTGCGCTGCCAGACGCGCGCTCCTAACCTGCTTGGGAGATGCAGACCAACAGGTGAGCAAATAAGTAGCCCGTGGTATCCCCACAGCCACCCCGGGGATAAACCACCATAGCCCCCTGGACAGGTGCCTTGAGCGCTCTGGAGAAAGGGGAAGGGGACAGGCACCCGTGGGAACTTTAAAGAAACAAGCCTGCTGGAAAAGGTGGGTTTGGCATCTCCCCACAGTGAGCTTTTGGGTGGACAAGGCTGTGTGGGACGCTTCGCCCAAGCGGGGGAAGGGCAGATCCCTGCGCCCACGCGGGGGAAGGGCAGATCCCCGAGCCCACGCTATACAAACAAGGCCTGCTGGAGAAGGTGGGTTTGGTGGTTCCCCCCCAGCGAATGTTAAACAAACAAAGGTTGCAACAGTGGCTGACTAGCAGGATGCTCCACTAGAGAATTGGTGAAGGGCAGTTCCCTGCGAACTTTGAAAATGAAGCCTGCAACTGTAGCTGGTTTATAGGACTCAAGGGGAGGGGCAGGCTCCAGGGAGAACTCTAAATAAACAAATGGAGTAGGTGGGTGTGATGGCTCCCTGCAGTGAACTGCAATAATAAAGCCTGCAGCAGCAGCCGGCTGGCAGTAGGTGGCAGGTGAGTCACAGCCTGAAACAGAGCAGATAGAGGCTCACAAAGCTGTCTCCTGTCCCAACCATCTGATGAGACAACCACAGTGCTACTGATTAAATGCCAACACCAGGACTGGATACTGAAAGAGCAACACCAGAACTAAGACTGAAACATCATGGTTTCTGGCCCTGAAATTTTTATTCTTTTATAGTTTTATATATATTTTCTACTTTTTAAAAGTCATTTCTTCTTCTTATTATTTTTTGTTTTTTTCCTTTGGTGAGACAACGACAGAGCTACTACTCAAACACCAACACCAGGAATGGATGCTGAAGGAGTAACACCAGAACTATGAAGAGTGAAAGTTTATTGCATCTGAACTTGGAATTTTTTTTCTTTTTTCATTTCCTCTCTTCTTTTTTCTTTTTTCTCTTTCTCTCTAATGCTTGTTTAGTTCACTGTCAGTTAGTACACTATCTCTCCCTATTAATTTCTTTGGTTCTCTATTTTCTTTTTCTTTTCTTTCTTTGCTTTCATTTTCCCTCACTCTTCCATTCTAGATATCATTTTTTAAATATTACAAGCTAGAAAATACTAAATTACACACAGTACAGAGACAGTAACAGCACCAAGTGGAATGATGGGAAGACGGAAAAAGGATGGAAACCATTTTTCCCCCAATAACAAATTAGTACAGGAACCAGAGGGAAATGAAGAAAACAGATACCCAGGTTCAGACTCCAACAAAACAAAGAGAAGCTATACCAAGGAACCCAACAAAGCACACAACATCCTGAAAGAAGAAATCCTGCATGCAATCAATGAGAACTTCATAAAGATGATATTGGATATGGCCAACCAAAATGTACAGGAGACACTCAAGAAATTCCAAGATAACAAAAATAGAGAATATGAGAAAGCACAAGAACAAATAAAAGAAACCATAGAAGCCCTGTATAAACACCAAAGTGAAACAAAGGACACCATAAATAGAGAGATAAATGAACTCAGGATGAAAATTGAGAACATTAAAGAGGAAGTGACTCATGATATGGAAAACCTCAGAAAAAAGATTGAAACAGAAATATAAAACAAAATAAAGGCCACTCCAGCAGACTAGAACAAGGAGAAGTCAGAATCTCAGAACTCGAAGATGAAATGGTAATTAAAGCAAAAACTGAAGAACTACTACTCAGACAACTCAAGAAATATGCAAGAATTTGCCGACTCCATCAAAAGACCAAACCTGAGAATCACGGACATTGAAGAAGGAGAAGAGGTGCAAGCAAAAGGAATTATAAATATTCAACAAATAAGTCAGAAAATTCCCAAATCTAGAGAAAACTATGCC